TTCAAGAGGGTTGCTATAGAATTGCAGTAAAAACAACCCTTCAAATCATTATAACTGTGTGTATCCCGTGTCAGTCAAAAAAACGGGCTTCCCCATGGATAAATTGTCATTTTTTTTGGAAATTGGGGCAGCCCCTTTTTCAATACCCAGAACTAGCAAAAAGATATTAAAACCCCAAAAATTTTTCTGGGTATGCCCAAATGAGGAAAACTGGGACTAAAATCACAAGGGGATTTAAAAAAGAAACATAAAGCTGCTTTCAAGAAAACCCAAAGCTTCAAACAGATGGGGAAAATAAAAATCGGGCTGAATGGGAATGCCCTTGATACTGGGCCCTGTTCCAAAAGAAAGGGGGAGGGTGTCCTGGAGTCAGTAAAAAGTGGGGCTGATAGTGCTGTCCTGGGGATAGTAATGGTAAGCTGAGGGCTGTCCTGGGGGACAATGTGAAGCTGGGGGGGCGTCCTGGGAACAGTAAAATTTAAGCTGGGGGTGCTTTTCCCGGGAGACAAAAGGGGGAAGCGGAATACTGCCTGGGGGACGTAAAGGTGAAGCTGGGGGAAATTTTTTCCAGGTAGCGGGGAAATTTTACCAGGGAAAATACATATAAATGACCCCATAGGGACAGAGCCCCCAGTAGGAAACAAGTGTAGTCAAAATAAGATAAACCAATATTGCAAACTAAAATAAACCCCCAGGAATAGCAAACAAGAGTCCAATAGCAAAAATGAGATAAATTACCAAAACAACTGGGTTGGAGCTCCATTTTTTGGTGCTAGGGAGGATAGAATAAACAGGAAACATGCCCAACAGGGAAACATCACAGAAACCCAAACAAACGGAAACCAAACCTGTGCACATACCACTTGGAAACGCTGGGGAAGGAAATCTGGAAAAAAAATGGGACGGGAACTAGACCAAACCCAGAAATGCCCTGCCATATGACAACAGGGAAAAAGCAAACCCCCCCTTCCCGTAAGCTTTTCCCCCCAAATTTTACCTCTTCAGTACAGGGAAAAACTGGCTATAACTAAATTGCCAGGGAAAACCCCTAAAGGGGGCAAAAAGATACAAAACACCACCATGGGAAAAACCGGGAGCCACACCCTCAAGAGGGAAGGTTTTTTTTAGTGCCGGAAGGAAAAAAAACGGCACGAAAAGGCAGAAACGTACACCAAAACCCCGTCATTCCCGGAGGGAACCACAGTCGAGGGCCCCACTCCAAACCAACAGAACAAAATTTTTTCTAAGCCGGAAAAAAAAATCCCCCCCAGTAAACCAAAAATCCACCATCCCATAACATTTTTCTTTGCAAATAAAGGGGCTAAAGCCAGGAACAAACAACAAAATACCTTTCATCCGTGACTGCTTCAGAGGCAAAGCAATGTTTCGCGCTTTCACTGAGACCCACATAAAGGATCACTTGGACAATGAAATATGGATCCCAGGTTACAACCTATACAGATGTGACAGAGTGAACAGGCAAAAGGGGGGGTTGGCCTGTACATTGCAGAGTCACTTGTTTGCACAGAACTGCTTAATGCCTCAAATGACGTAGTGGAAGTTTTAGCAGTAAAGGTCGAGAACCAAAACCTAGTCATTGTGGTAGTCTACAAGCCTCCGGATGCAACATCCCAGCAATTCCAGAACAGCTGTTAAAAATTGACCACTGTCTGGAAAATCTTCCAGCTCCTGCACCCAACATCTTGCTCCTGGGGATTTCAACTAAGGCACCTAAAATGGAGGAATATAGCAAATAATATTGTTGCAGTAATAACACCAGGAGGCAGCTCTGATGAAAACTCACACTCACACGAGCTTTTAAATCTCTGCACAAAATTCAATTTAAACCAGCAAATAATAAGCCTACTAGACTGAGAATACACTAGACCTCATATTCACTAACAATGATGATCTGATAAAAATGTCACCATATCAAAAACAATATACTCAGATCACAACATAATTGAGGTTCAGACATGATGCGAGGAGCCCCAGACCGACAAAATGAGACTAGTCACGAGGAGCATTCACCAAATTCAACTTCAATAACAAAAACATAAAGTGGGACCAAGTAAACCAAGTCCTAACCGATATAAGCTGGGAAGATATACTAAGCAACACAGACCCAAACTTATGCCTAGAACAGATTAACTCGTGGCACTCGATGTATGCACAAGGCTTATTCCTCTAAGAAAAAGGAGGAGAGTAGATGTAAAATATGAAAGAGAAAGGCGCACCCTTTACAGGTCGACGGAAAAGGAATAAAGAGCGGCTAAAAGAGGTCAATATTTCTGACAAAGCGCAGGGGACACTGGTCAAGAAATAGCAAGCAGACGAACTTAAGCTAAAGAATCCTTTTAGAGGAGTCAGGAATCGCGGGGAAGAACTAAAGCTATAACATGAAATCGAAAGAAACCAAAGTATTTCTTCTCCTAAGCCAAATCAAAATCGAGAAACACGCCCAGTAATTGGGCCCCTACTTAAACAAGATGGGTCTCTACACAGATTACCACAAGGAACATGAGTGAGCTACTCAAGTCCCAATATGACTCAGTTTTTAGCAAAGCCGCTAACCCAGACTGAGAGTCGAAGATCAAAATGAATTTACTCATGAGAGGGAGCCACAAAATTTGATAACACAAGCCTATCCGATTTTATCCTGACGCCAAATACTTCGAACAGGCGATAAATGACATGCCCATGCACTCTCCCCAGGGCCAGACTCATGGAACTCTGTGTTCATCAGAACGAGCCTTTCTCCATCCCTATGGAGAGGAAGCATGGACACGGGGGTCGTCCCCTCAAGTTACTAAAAACAACAGACATAAGCCCCCACCCACAAAGGGGCAGTAAAGCAACAGCAAAGAACTAACAGACCAATAGCACTAACAACCATATCATAAAAATCTTTGAAAGTGGTCCTAAGAACAAGATCACCACCCATCTAAAACCCATCACTTACACAACCCAGGAACATGGGTTAGAACAGGGTCGCTCCTGACTGTCATCAACTACTCTCTGGATCCCTACGACAAGGACCTAAATGCACTAGAAGATACAAAAAGAAAGCAGATGTATCTATATAAAGACTTTGGCAAAAGCCTTCGAAAGTGTGACCATGGCGGTAATAGCGCACAAAATGCGGCGCTAAAGGAAATATTAAGGAAAAGTCGCGATGCGGATAATCTATAATTTCCTCCACTAACAGAACACAGAGGAGTAGTCGTCAACAGAGTAAAGAAGTCCGAGCAGCTACTGTAGAAAAAGCTCTGTTCCACAAGGCACAGTACTAGCTCCCATCTTGTTCCTCAACCTCATAACCGACATAGACAGGATGTTCAGCCACAGCACACCGTGTCTTCCCTTTGCATGATACGACCCGAATCTGCATAGACAGTGTCTTCCATTGCAGACACTGCAAGGCTCCATGGCGGACATCAACCAAATCTTATCCAGTGGGCTGCAGAAAACAATATGAAGATCAACGATGAAAATTTCCAATTACTCAGATATGGTAAACATTGAGGAAATTAAAATTCTACATCAGAGTACAAAACCAAATTCTGGCCACAAAATAAGCGAAACACCAACGTCAAAGACCTGGGAGTGATTATGACGAGGATCTACCTTCATAGGACCAAACATTGTATCAATCGCATCCCTGCTAGAAAAATGACAGGATGGATAATGAGAACCTTCAAAACTAGGAGGCCAAGCCCATGATGACACTCTTCAGGTCACTTGTTCTATCTAGGCTGGAATTTTGCTGCACTCTAACAGCACCTTTCAAGGCGGGTGAAATTCCCCGACCTAGAAAATGTACAGAGAACTTCACGCGCCCCATAACGGAGATAAAACACCTCAATTACGGAGCGCTTGAGGTTTTCTAAACCTGTATTCCCTGGAACGCAGGAGGAGAGATACGGGATTATATACACCTGGAAAATCCTAGAGGACTAGTACCGAACTTGCAAAACGAAAATCACTCACTACAAAAGGGCAAAAGATTTGGGCAGACGATGCACCATCCCCCCCAATGAAAAGCAGGGGTGTCACTAGAAACGTTAAGACCAACAAATAGTGTCAGGGGCCCGAGACTGTTCAACTGCCTCCCAGCACACATAAGGGGGATTACCAACAGACCCCTGGCAGTCTTCAAGCTGGCACTGGACAAGCACCTAAAGTCAGTTCCTGATCAGCCGGGCTGTGGCTCGTACGTTGGTTTGCGTGCAGCCAGCAGCAACAGCCTGGTTGATCAGGCGCTGATCCACCAGGAGGCCTGGTCACAGACCGGGCCGCGGGGGCGTTGACCCCCGAAACTCTCTCCAGGTAAACTCCAGGTGGCTAACCCTCCGGGGTTAAAAATCCGAACGAAATCTTATCTTATCTTATGTACTTAGTATGGGCCAGTAGGTCTCCTGCAGCGTTCCTCCTTTCATATATTATATGTCTAGTATGGGCCAGTAAGCCTCCCGCAGTGTTCCTCCTTTCATACGTCATGTGCCTAGTATGGATCAGTAGGCCTTCTGCAGTGTTCCTCCTTTCTTATGTTCTTATATTTACGAAGATGATTCGTTAAGTGACTGAATGATATACCTTGTCATATAAAGTAAGGTATATTATTATTATTATTATTATTATTATTATTATTATTATTATTATTATTATTATTATTATTACATTACGTGAGCACTTTTCCTCTCTGTATGGCCGTGGAATACCTTGGTGCTGTGACCCCCAGTGGTTTGGCGCTTCCCCGCGAATATATTAATATTATTATGTTAATCTTTTGAGAAGCTCGAGCGCCTTTGTGAAGCAACTTGAGGCTTCACTTTTATTAAGAAGAGGAAGCCAGCAGAATACTTCCACTTCCCACACAGGAAGTATACACCCTGGGGTGTATACTTCTCGGTGTATGCACACTTGAGAGTTCACTTCAATCCCTACTTTAGTTAATAAAGTATTCTTGACTTGTGGTGAACAGGTGACAGGTCCTAATGACCTTCGTGTAGTCGAGAGGTTTGAAACCAAATTAACTGGGCAACCATTCATCTAGTGTCTCATGATTCATGTATATCATGGTTTTATTTTCTCGGTATATATTTTTATCCTGTTTTCGGGTTTTTTGTTTTCTTTCTTGGGTGAAAAAGGTTACCGGACCCCTTAATGACCCCGTGCAGCAACAGGTTTAAAAACCCTTAACAAAGCAACTTATTGCGGGTGACTCTAAACCTTAACAAACCCCCCACCCAACAGTCACCCCCAGCCCAGCCGTCTGTCTTTTCCTCGACCAGCAGTCCCCCTTTTTTTCTAGGAGTCTCCCTTCACCCCTGCGATCTTGTGACCGGGGTCACCTTTCACATTTTGAGTTTGCTTTTTCATGTTCTCTTTTTTAACATTACACTAGTGGTGATCATTTTAAACTTTTACAGTTGAAAAACATCGGGGGTTAAATAGTTTGAAAGTAAATTTAAACCAAAAAATGAACTTAAATCAGTCATATAAATTCCCGAATACAATCTCCATACAATATACCCACATTAGTGTTTGGTTTGAAAAAATTAAAAAAAAAAAAAAAAAGGGAAAAAAACTGCAATTTGTTATATTTTTGGTATATATTAAAAAGGTTTTATTTGAGACCATCAATTTGAACCAAATTTCCCCTCGGTCCTTACAAATCGATATAGTAAATATTAGAGTGGGACCATCGATTTTTAAAAGAAAGTATACTGCCGTTTTTTTTTTATTCCTACTTTTAATTTATTTTATTGACGTAATTAATAGGTTTTCAGTTTTCAAGAACGTACAGTGGGCATAGAATGGGTCTAATTTTTTAAATTGATTAAATTTAATATTACCTTGTATAAAGTGTTCTCAAAAACACTAAACAATGCAGACAAATGAATTCACACGTATTAGTTACATTTTTACTGATTTTTCCGCCACTTGATATTTTTTAATTTTGATAATTACCTGGATAACGGGGTTTTTTGATTTGCGATTTTGTGATTAAATTGACCAAATTGCCGGGTCCCACACGCCCTAGTTTATGATCGAAACTTAGTGTGGTTTGAGAAACTCGCTTTTTTTTGTTGATTCTTTTTATTTATCGACATGTCTCCCACAACGGCACTGAATAGGGAATCAATGGTGGTGGTTGACTTCTTACCCACTCCCCGTGGGGGTACGATGTGGTCATTTCTCATAGTACCATAATAAATATTTAACACCATATTGGTCTGGTTCACTTTTTACTAAAGGGGTAGCCGGGTTTTCAGTCATTAGTTTTTTGTATACTTTTTCCCAAAATTTTTTTCATCTGCTGCTTTAAGCATTTCATTTTTTTCAAATTAAAACCTGCTTTAAACGTTTTTTTTTTTTTTGGATCCAGATGAGACTAATCTCCCAGTTTTTACTTCGGTAATTTGTAAGGGTTTCAGTCTTTTTTTTTGGTTAGGGCAGAGTACAATGAATATTAGACTACATATGAGATAACAAGGTTTAAACTTTGGGGCCCTCGGGGAAAAACCCAAAGCCCGGACACGAGTCACTACTGTAGGGAAACGTTAACCCCGCTTCTATGAATTCCTTAAATTCGCCTGACGGCATTTAAACAAACTATATTTTTTAGACATTTCCTGAAGTCTGCTGGGGGTTTTAAATTTTAAACTTACCTTTAAAAATTTCCCCTTGGGAACTTTTCTTTTTCTTATGGGAAAAACATAAATGCCGAATGTTTTTCCTTTTAGGGAACTTTTCGTCCACACATGGGGTTTGTCAAAAAATCTCGCCTTTTTCTGGCTCAGTTTTCTGAAATGCAGCAACTTATTACAAAAAAACTGTGATTCACTGTAACAATCTTGGTTTATCCACCCAACTGAGAAATGTTCACAAATCTGGGGAGGAAAAATCTCTAGGATTGGGAAGGGCGGGTTTTTTATCGTCACACTCTGCCTGCTTTACGCTGGAAAACGGTTGTACTGGAGGGGAGGGTATAACTATAACAAAAAAATTGAGAGGAATTGACAAGGGAACAAAGACAGAATTTTTCGAAAAGAGAAAAAGGCCCCCAATGGAAAAAAGTCTTTCTTGGGGGTTTTCCAGGAGAGGGGGTTTTAGGGTAAACCCCCTCAGCCAGATCTGGACAAAGGCCTTACCTGAACAATTCTTAACACTGGGCACAGCTTTGGGGTTGGAAAATCTGTCGTAGGTGTTACCTGGGGGTTTCTCCCGTAAAAGCCCTATATTTTATTTTTTCACCTTATTGCAGGGGGTGGAACAATCCGGGGAAATGAATGGGAAGGCAGGATCCCTTTTTTAGCTTCAAATGTGGTAAGGGCCCTTTAACCAGGGCCTAGTTCGACCAAGAAGCGGGGGGCCCGGGAGGATGCAACCCTGCAGCACATGTAGGAAAGTACTGTAGAAAGTACTCGCTAAAAAGTTTTTCGTGAAGGGCCTTTATTTCCCAAGGAAATGAAGCAACCCTCTCCTCGACTTTTTTTTGGGGTTTTCCAGGGTTTTTCCACACTATCTGCATGAAGATAATTCTATTAACGTATTTTTGTAACCCGAATAAACTTCTTTCTTACTTACTTACTTCTTACTTACTTTCTTTCTTACTTACTTCTTACTTACTTACTTACACTTATTATTTCTTACTTACTTACTTTTCTTACTTGTTGCTTTTTTCTTGCTTGCTTCTTCTTGCTTGCTTGCTTGCTTGCTTGCTTGCTTCTTTCTTCTTTCCTGTTGAACCCCAAAAGGTTCCGATCCCCATATTAATTTTGAGAAATTTTTAAAAAATTTGGGAAAAAGTCCCGTTCTTTGTCTTTATTTGGTTACCCCGAAGCTGTTTTACGTTTATGACTTGTCTTACTCCTAATTAAAAACTAAAAACTTAAGACTACCTAGTTTAGTCTACGTGAACACTGAAAATTAAAAAAAAAACTTCCTGTAAAGAGAAAATGGTTTCTTTGTATAACTAGCTTATTTTTACGTATTTTCTCCGGAAGACCTGTACAGATTAACCCGGTGGATTTGTAACCCATTACCCAAAAAATAGAATGTCAGGATTGGCTTGTTCCCACTGAGGTCTTTTTCATCCTTTCCTCCAGGATGCGACCCAAACTGTCTCCTCACACTAGGGAATGATTTCTTTACAGCTAACGATTGTGTACCTATTATAAGCTGATTTTTGTTGATAACTTGGTTACTTATTTTTAGTATATCTCCTCTTATTGTAACTGTTTTTTTAAAGTTGAGTTATTTAGCTATTTTAACTTTCAAGGCTTAAATAAGATAATACGAGAACCCCAATAGAAATGTCACTGATTTCACTGGATTATCTTAGGTAATTTGCACCGCATAATTGTAATGGTATTCCTGTGCCTAGATTAACTTACTGGTAGGTGAACGCAGGCAGCAGATGTTAGGAAATATGCCCAGTGTTTCTGGATTTGGTTAGTCTAGGCTAAGAACATCTTAATTTTTCTAGGATGTGGAATAGTCTTGCAGATTTCTCGAGTAAGTTTATTTAGGTACGGGTACTTAAATAAACTAAGTTTGTGTACATGTACAATTATCATACCTAGTAACGTGTAAATTATCTAGGATCTCCCTCCCCCCCCCCCCAAAAAAAAGTAGTGACCCATTTCCAATGGTGTAGGTTAACCCTTCATACGGACAGTATGGGTTGATTATGGAGTTTTGTTCATGGAATTTCACACCAGGTAAATTTCACTTCATGAATTGATAATCCCTGGTGGACGAAGCTCTGCTATCAAAACTTTGGGGCCCCAGTCCCTGGACCCATTATACCTCTGTAATCTTTTGACTACCGCCCACAGGATGGGTTTGGGTTGCATAATAAACATTAAATTAACTTAAACAATGTGGGGGAAAAATGTGCATAGTTCATTACGTTTATTAATCTGTTTCGCCATGGGCAACTTTACAAGTGTTAACACACATCTGTGGCATCATACCATTATCTTCCATAAGAATGGAGAACATTGCAGCAGGCCTACTGTCCTATGACTCACGAAATCGTAATGACACGATTGCAAACAAACCATACCCCGGCCGGGATTGAACCCGCGGTCAGTCTCAAAACTCCAGCCCGACTATTATTGTGGCTAGCTGGTCTTCTTGGTGGCTAACGCGACGGGCTGGAGTTTTGACTCTCTGACCGCGGGTTCAATCCCGGCCGGGGCATGGTTTCTACTGTCCTATGCTTGGCAAATTCTCAAATTCAAACTTTCGTAGTTCATAGATATTCATAACCTGCACATTTTATTTTTTTACTTCAACTGTTTAAAAAAACAGTGAAAGACTATTATAAATTTACAGGCTTTGACTAGGATGTCCGGAGTCTTGAGACAGTCACAAGGGCAACACTGGCAGTGTAACCTGACTACCAACAGAGAACGGATTTCATCTCTCGTGTCCTCCGGGCATCTTTCTGATGTCACTCTTGTCTTCTCGGACAACCGAAGAATCCAGGTTCGTATGTTTGATTGAAAAATAAATTTTCTACATTTATTAGCACATATATATATATATATATAGGGCGTAATGACGTCAGTTTGTTGTACTACGTACATCTCTATTTACTAAAGTACATGTACAAGGTATACAGGCCGCCTAACTGACATCAGTGACATACTATATAGAAAACTCCTTGTTAGGCTGAGCATTTTGGGTAAATTAGGTCAGTTTTGTCCCGGGATGAGACCCACACCAGTCGACTAACGCCCAGTTATCCATTTTAAATTGATGGGTGGACAGGGACAGCAGGTGTCTTATGGAAACACGTCCCTAATGTTTTCCAGCCGTACCTGAAGAGATTCGAACCCCAGATCTCAGTGTGTCAGCTGAGTGCGCTAGCGATTGAGCTACGTGACTACCTGGAGTATACCAGGAGAGGGTTTTGGGGGCCAAAGCCCCCGCGGCTCTAAGACCAGGCCTCGTGGTGGATCAGGTTCTGATCAACCAGGCTGTTATTGCTGGCCGCACACAAATTAACGTACGAGCCACAGCCCGGCTGGTCAGGTGCTGACTTTAGGTGCTTGTCCAGTGCTTTCTTGAAGATAGCCAGGGATCTAATCTAATCCCCCTTATGTATGCTGGGAGGCAGTTGTACAGTCATGGTCCCCTGACACTTAGAGTAACTTCAGAAAGTGCATGTTTATAGAGGGACCATAGATATCAGATTATCTTTTAGTTGTAACTAAAGTGAGAGTAAAAGATAGATGGGATATACGAAGAATGAAATCCGCAAGTAAGAGGTTAGGGTTCATAAACTAGAGGACAAGGCAGCTAGGGCAATATATAAATAACTATTGGAAGATGGGCAAGTGAGTATAGGCAATGAGGTTGAAGTTTTTTTTTTTTTTTTATTTTATTTAAAACCACACAATACATTAAATAGATAAAAGAACACAGTATCAGTTCTTACACAAAATTACAAATTTCATTGTCTAAATGAACACAGACGATTAACGTTGTGTTGCCACAAACTGTCCCTCATCCTCCATTTTTTTAAATATCCCATGTTACTATGTTAAGTTAAGATTACACAAGATGACATAATATTCATCATTATTATTATTATAGCCAAAGATGACCCCAAAACTACAATCTGCATTATTTTTTCCACTTTGGTTATTTATATATCCTTCATACAGAATCCTTACAAATGACATAACTGTTTTCTGTAAACACTGTTAATTTTATCTTTCCATACACTTGTCACGATTACCGTTAATTTTTGATAATCTGATCCTGATAGAAAAATTTTACTAATCTTCCCCCTTCACCCCGAAGCAAAGAAACTAATATCACCAACAGATTGGGATATATATAAACTTTTACTAGAGTTCATCAAATGTTACATTGCTATTTTGACAATGGAGTGTATCACCACCCCTAAAGAATGTACATTATTATATTTCCCTAATAAAAAAAAAAAAAAAAAAAAAAAAAAAAAAAAAAAAAAATTACTTTACATGAGAGTTGTTTAATAACCACTAACTTGTTTATCTGATATATTATGAACTCAGCCATAAAGATAAATTAACCCTAGTCACCAGTTTACTGTACATTGTATCATGTTTTCCTCATAATAACTCCAAACACAGGGAGCTTTCTTATCGTTGAGAAAATTACATTCATACACCACACACTACATTTACACACATGCACCTCCATACCCAGAGCCATTCACACTTGAACACCCAGGTGTTCTTGTGCCATCCCTGCACCAACTAAACGTTGAACCATAACACAAAAGTTAAAAAACAAGCTAAGTGAATACAAATTTAAATATTATCTATAAAACTGTGTACACAGAAACAACACAAACATTGTTATTCGTAATTGTTTGTGGCATATATACAAACTTTTACCATCATCCATCAGATGATACATTACTAATTTGACACAGAAGTGTCTCACCACTCAAAAAAAAAAAAAAAAAAAAAAATTACTGTACATGAAAATTTAAAAACCCAAACGAAATCGTTCATCTGATATATTATGATCTAAAGCCAGAAAGTTAAATTAACCCTGAACATCATTTTACCTAACATATCTTGAGTTCCTCATAATACGCCACACACCGGAGTTTTCCTATCTAAATACATTACTTTTAACACAAACACTACATTCACACACTTCACCTCCATACCCAAAGCAATTCACACGTGCACACAGTTTTACGTGTTCCATTCCTACAACAGCAACCGGAATCAGACTAGTTACCCCCCAACCATAATCCAAATTACACTACATACCATCCACCCTTGTCATTCGCTAAAAACCTTCCCATATACGCCACCACCACTAAAAAACCCCTGAAAACCCGACTACCAAGAATACCAGTCCCCTACATGGTTATCCTGTACCAATTGCTGGAGACGACTGACTGTAATCTCTCTGTAGTTCTCTGGAAAACAAGCTCCCCACTGACTCCCATAAATAAGTTTGTTCCTACGAGCCGTCCTGTATATACGCGCTGCTATTCCCTTAATTCGAATCATACCCCCAGCATCTCTCATTCCCCAGGAAATATACAGAAAACCACTCCCACATACATAACGCCCTTTTTACCTCCCGTGATCCCCCCTTTTACCTTAATGTTAAAGGTTTCGCAGGGTCTCTACATTCCCCCCAACCTAACAGACGAAAAACCCTCCCCAAAACCACATCCGTACCTCCCTCAATTCTTCACAAAAATAAACTGAAATGAAATGCCGTTTCCAGCTCACCACACTGACTGCAGGAGGGTTCCCTCACCAAACCATTAAACTCAAAACTGCTTTTGAAGCTAGGATCCCCATCATGAATCTGATTACCAACTCACGTACCCTAGGCATTAAACCCTGAGCCTCCTGAAGTCTTCCCTTATCGTCCCCCAACATACAATGGATAGACCGATACGCCCTGCAGGATTTCCTTCCTTTCCCACTCAATGATCCCAACGCCCCACTTTAAGTCGCTCAACATCTTTAACCAATAACAAAACCCTCAGCATCCTCACATTCAATTAACTCTTTACCTCCCCACCATCTCCGCACATCCCCCATCACCTTCCCCATTTTACCCCTCTTTCCCCTCCAGCCCTAACGAATGACTGTTTTACATATATCGTTTTCACCCTCGGCCCCAGTGCTAAAAGACCCACCCCCCCTCTGCGTACATTCGACATCACCACTTCCTTGCTCAGCCATGCTCTCCCAAAAACCCCCAAAACATAACGTAGAGCACGTCTCTGTATTTCTTGTACGTCCTGTGTTCTCAAAGGATACACTTCTGCTATACCCCAAACCTTACTGAAAACCAGCGAATTAACTATTACCGCCCTCTGCTGAAATGTGACATCTCCCGCCCGAAAACCCCCTAATCTACTCACTATTTTCTCCACTACCCTCTCTGAATTTACCTGCCTAGCCTCCTGCGCATTCGCCATGTATAAAACTCCACAAATCTTCAAATTATCCACCACTGCCCACCCAAACCCCAAACCCCCAAGCCCCCCCCCCACCAAGCACCCACCTCCAGTAAACACGATTTCGCCCTATTTACTCTCATTCCCGACACCTCCCCCAAAAACCCCCAACACCCTCCCCACCAAGCAATTTCCTCCACCCCTTCTATCAGGATAGTGGTATCATCCACATACCCCACAATGCCTGAGCGCCCTTCCCTCTCACCATATAAAGCTCCCCCCCCCTCAACGACCCATAGAACGGATGTTGCAATGCACGCAAACAAAATTTTGTAAAAGAGGCACCCCTGCCGTAATCCCCTCTCCATTTTAACCAGCCTTCCCAATCTGCCCTTAACTTGGACCCGTACCATAGCCGCTGAGTATAGCGTATCAACCCACCTCGCCACTCCCAGTCCAAACCCCAGACGCAACAAACAAGCCCTCAAAAATTTTCTATTCACACAGTCATATCATTCTCCCAATCAATACCCAAAAGTCCTCCCCCTCGCAACCTCCAAAAAATCCCTTATGCGCCCATGCCCAACCTCATACTTCGTCCCGGTATAACCATCTGTCCCCTATGTACAACCGCACCAATTTCCTTCTTCATCCTATTACCTAATATCTTTGCAAAATTTTTGTAGTCAGAACACATTAGTGAGATAGCTCTATATGCACTTAAAAACACTTCCCACTTGCTTTTTCCGAACCAACACCACCACTCCAATACTTTGTGTTTGACTTAGCTTGCCCTCCCGCCGCATACAATTCATGACCTCCACCAGACAAGTCTTAATATGCCCAATGAACTCTGTAAAAATCATTTGAAATCCCATCGATGCCCGGCGCTTTTCCAGTTTCTCATGTTAAACACTGCCTCCTCAACTTCCCCCACACTAATCGCTCCTCCCATCTCCCTCCCCTCCACTCTTCTTTTTGCCCTAACCCACACCCCCCTCCAACACTTCCCCAAAAGCATCGCCCTCCCCCCCTTTCTCCATTTCTCTCGAAACCAGAAATCAGTATAATTATCATGCCTTCTGTAGTAGTAAAAGCCCTGTCCCTTATGATATCCACCATATCCTCACTAACCTCTAATTGCAAAAAAGTTGACTCCTTTTGCCTTACCCTAAAACGTCCTAAAACACTTCCCGAAGGTTTATCCCCCCCCAATACAGCCCCAATCCTGCCCTCACACGCACAGCATCAAATCTGTATTGTGTATCTCCGCCGTCTACCCCCTTTAAATTGCTCCACGCCCATACTGCTTCCCCACTTCCTCCTCATAACACTCGTTCAGCTGACATTTCCAAATAATTCTGTAAAACCCTACCCCACCTGGCCTCTTCCCGTCCCCTATTTTTAAAGAATCCAGCAATACCCGGCTTAGCTCGCTTCTCCCCACCATTCCAAGACAACACGACCCCCCCATCCCTTTTATCCCAAAAAAGAGTGCCACCAATCCCCAAAAGCCTCATTCACCCCCTCCCCCTTTACAAGTCTCGCATTTAATTTCCAATAACCAGTTTTGTAAACCTAACCATACCCCCCCAATCAAGATCCGCAATAACCGCCCCGTGGTCCGAAAACCCCCCATCGAAGGTCTAACTCCCAGAACTCTTATTGCCTCCGTTTCATAGAGCCTATCCAGACGTGCAGCTAAACCCCTTCGTACAAAAAGTATACTCAATCCTCCAACCACCTCTCCCACTACATCTAAAACTCCCACATCCCAAACATTGCGTAAAAAAACCCCCAAAACACACCCCGCCCCCCTCGGTTCCACATCACCCTGTCGTATGACACAATTCCAATCTCCCCTATCACAGTAAAATAAAGGCAATCCCCTCAAATAAAAAAGCAAAACATCCCCCACGAAAGTTACCTTAACTGCTGGGATTTCCATCCGCCGGCATGTATACTCCTATAAAACAAACCTTGTCTCACACCCCACTCTCCCTCTACCCGCACCACCCTTCCACCCCCCACCCTCCTCCCCCCCCAACACACGCAAGGGACTGGTTTCCTTCACAGCCACAGCAACCCCCCCTTTTAACCTCACCGATCCACTCACAATTTAAATTATAACCCCTTTAAGCGCAACTCACATCCAAACTTGTTTAAATTTTGTTCCTGTTTTGAAACATATACCACACAAATCTCCTTAAAAACCATTCCATCCACACTCTCTTAATCTCAGCTCCAGGCCGTTAACATTTAAAGGTGACCACCCTTTAATTATTACAATAAAGGCGGCTTTTTCCCGCCGCTTTTGAAGGTTGCTTGAAAGACGTGGTTGTTGACTATATCCACGTTTGTCACTTGGTCTATCCAGACCTCCGTTTTCCCCCCTTTTCCTTCGACCCTTGCAGCACCACAGAACCGGTGCCACCATTCCCCGGTAGCTCAGCCCAGTCTTCAAGGTTTCTTTCCAGATCTCTGCCCTGGCGTTAAGACATTTTCCCTTTTCCGACGTCCCAGCTGATCGCTTACGTGTGCCACCTCCACACGTTGCCTCAGCATCCATGTCCTCCTGGTGCACCTCAACCTCCACCATGTGCTGCTTACTCTCATTGCACAAGGTGTTTTTACACTTTTGTGCAGCGCTACCCCCTCCAATACCCTCCCGTCCTTCTCCCCTTCCTGACTGTCTTCCACCTCCCCCAAGAAGTCTTTCAAGACCTCGTCCAGCAGGGCCATCCTGTTGTAAGGGCACTTTTTGTCAACATTCTCATCCGTAGATGGTCGCTCAGACACAGTTCCCACAGGTAACGGTCGCACGCTCCCATCTCCGACTCCGCTCTGTCTACTTCTTCACTCCAACTTGCAGACGCCTGTTTTGCGCTTCACCTGTCGCAGGTGCCAAGGAGGGCAGCTGTCGTTCCACAGTTGTTGGCCCTGTTTTCCCTCCGTCCCTGGGCCCTTTTATGACATTGGGCCGCCATATGGTCATAAGACCCGCACAGCCTACATGTCCGACGCTGTCCTGCATAATATACATAAACCTGTGTTCTGAACTCTTCCATCAGAACATACGATGGTATAGGTTGTCTCAATGTCATCTTTCAATGTGAAAGACCCCTCTGGCAGCCCCATATAAGGCCCATCCTTCCACACTCCCAACTGTGCCGAATGGAACTTGCCATACCTACGGAATACCTCCACAACATCATATTCCAAGGCCTCAAAGGGGACATTTCTCACCTTTACCCACGTTTCATAGCTTTATACGTCATGTAGGGGACCTCCACTGCAGAATTAACGGTCATCCTCTTTTCTTGAAACGCGTCGACTATGCTGGAGTAAAACCCCGCACTCTTGAACTTGATGAAGAATCCTGTACACTCCATTCACTCTACACCATACAACTCTTCGTTCGGTATGCCATATACATCGCGGATAATACTTGGCAGCAGCACCTGCATTGTAGAACTACTCAGGGCACCACGTACCAGCACCACACAGACAGTATTCACCCTGCGTCCATGTCTGTCCGCCATTTTGATTGCTCAAAACAGGTAAACTGCGCAGAAAATCAACTGAATCGGGAGCGCCTGCGCAGCACGTCCACTCGGCCCGGAAGCGAAGAGGACAATTCACGTTGAAGTTGTATGGGGTAGATTTAAGAATGGAGTGTTACTGTTCAGCAGAAGTTTGTGGTTAAAGGAAAGTCGGTGAAGGTGGAGAGAGAGATTGGTGGAATAATGAGGTAGAGAGTAGTAAGAGAAAAGCGTGCAAGTTTTTTTGCAAAGTAGTGATACAACTCGGGAGGAGTATATTGAGAGAGGTTGATAGTGAAGAAATACAAGAGAATGGCTGAGATGCTATCAACAAATCTGGGTGAGAATAAGAAAGTCTTGGAGTGAGATTAATAAGTTGAATCTAGGGTAACTATAAGATTCGAGTCTAAAATAGTTATTAGATGAAGAGTTAGAGGTATGGAAAGATGGAGGGGATATTTTGAGGAACTGTTAAGTGTTGATGAAGACTGGGAAGCTGTGATTTCGTGCACTGGGCAGGGAGGTACATCTTGTAGGATTGAGGAATTCGCCAGTTTGGTAGTTATTATTGAAAATGTAAGACAGAGCAGGATCGCAGATGAACAAGAAGGCTTTAAGAAGGGTAGAGGTCTGTAGACCAAGTGTTGACAGTGAAGCAGGTGTCTTTAAGAAAATTCGTCCTAATGTTTTCACGCGTACAGGGAATAGACCCCTCGGACCTCAGTATGAGCTGAGTGCGCTAGCGATCGATCGAGCTACAGTGGATTACCTTCCACTCACCTGGAGCTATCTGATCCCTTCGGGCTTGGGGCTTACTCGTAATCTCCAATTCACAGGCATTCCTTATCTTTGTCACACAGGCTCACAAGTTGATTCTGGCAATGAGCTCACCGGTGTTCGAGGCTATGATGTACGGCGCTATGGCAACTAACGAAATCACTTTAGCTTGCGACTCTTACGAGATGTTCCAGTTGCTACTCTGCTACATATATGAGGAGGAGATCAACCTTTCAGACGTGTTTGTAGGGATTCAGATGTACCATCTTGCACACAGGTACCAAATGGACACACTCGCTCTCTATTGCTCCAAGGTAAGATAGCTGAGGATTTTTTGTAGCAATACTGGATAAACCGGCTATGTCCAGTTATAATATACATTCTAATTATAATTGATTATATATTTTTTATAATTTTTTGAATTATATTTTTATGTATATAACATATACTGTATACATGTAACTAGATCAGGTATGTTAATAGGTGGACTGATCAGAAGTTTTTTGATGCCGATGACGAGGGGCTCTTGATGCGAGGAATTGCATTTTGTCCTTCATTCCTTGGATTAAACCTGTCTCCTATTCTTTCAGGAGCTATGTGGACCCTATTTAGCACCCCCCTAAAAAAAAGGAGGGGGGGGGAATTAATCCATATAATTCTACTCGTATAAATAGAAGATTTTTAATGTTTTTGCAAAATTAAGACATTAATAGGCTCATAGTAAGCTTCTGGGTAGGTTTGAGTCATGGTTTTTGTTTATCCCGGGTTAATAATCTGATTTTCTTCTCCTTGACATGTGCACCTCGATAATGCACGATAGTTCTTAAATTTAGGTGAAAGTAGATCTCGGCAGACAGCTTCCTGAATGTCTGGAAGACGTTATCCATCAGGCCTGATTAACCAGGTTTTGTTATTACCGGCCACACTGTCACGCGTACTATCTACAACTGGGCTGATCAGAAACGGACGTGAGTTTCAGGATTCCTGTTGACAGCCAGGGATCAGTTGGAAATTCCTACTTTTGTATAAGGGAACGATGTTGAAAAGTCTTGGACCCCTAACACTTGTTACCAACCCTGCTTCTCGCTGAAGGAATTTTGCACCGCCTGTTGAACTATCCTGGTTCAGTGTAAGAATTATTAGCCTTTTCGGGAACAGTCCCACTAGGCTTTTCCAGGTGTAAATTATGATGCATGTTGCTTGTTCCTAGGACACGTGTTAAGGGATTTTCAAACTTCTCTAATTTAGGAAATTGACTGGAGGTTATACGTGCAGAGAACGTTCTCCGTACATTACCTAGGTCTGCAGTTTCAGCCACCTTAGTGGGCTGTTGATGTTCGTCAATATTCCAGCCTAGAGAGAACAAGCTACTCAGACGGCTCATTTCCCTGGTATCCCTTGTTTTGAAGCCATTCACCAGGCTCTGGCTTTTGTCCTAGATCACATTCCCCCACAACCATTGGTTCTCTTCTGATTCCCAATCTTCCCTGGCACTTTTGTGCTCTGCCCGTCCACGGTCACTGCGCGTCCTCGTTCGTCGGACACAATCTTTCCTCCTGCGCTTCTTGCGGAGCCCAGGTTGGAGCATCTTCCTTCAGTGGGTACCCGCCCATGTTGGAATCCGGGGCAATGAAGTGGCAGATCGGGCGGCCTCCCTCGCGCGCGCGCACTTCCTACTATTACCCCTCTTGCCCTGGGCCACAGTGATTTCACAAGGGCTATTTGGAAGGGAATCCGTCATCAGTGGCAAGAGGGCCTGGCACCCTCCCTCTCTTCGGCGTTGGGCTCTGTCCGAACTTTAAATGGCCCCTGCCCTTAGGCTCGCCATCCCAACCGCTCGGTGGACGTTGCACTGACTCGCCGTAGAGTCGGGCACTCCCGACTGGCGGCTCATCTGTACCGCCTTCGGATGACGGACTCGCCGTACTGCCCGTGGTGTCCTTCAACCCGAGACGGTGGAACACTTCCTGCTGTGGTGCCCACGTTATCACTACACTGACTACTCTCCGTGCTGCCTTGCGCACGCTTGGGGTGCACACTTTCACTCTACGTGTCCTTCTCAACGGGGGGGGGGGGGGGAGGGTTCCGCCCTCTGGACCGTCAGGAGATATTGGCCTGTACCTGCTCCTTCCTGCTGGCTTCAGGGCGTATCAGGGACATAATACATAATTATTAGTCAAAACATTCTTCCACTTTGGTCGAAGCCCCTTCTCCTAGTACTGGACGGCCGGGCTCAATACGGCATATGCTGTCAGTAGCCCTGAAACCCAACAGAAGAACAGTTTTCCTCGTGGTTGTGATAGATTGCTGTGATCCTCTTTACATTATTTACTCCTAAGTCCTTGCAGTATCTCGTTCTGTTGCGTGGGTCTAGTGGTATTTTCCGTCCTACTTTTTTCCTTAATTTTCCCATAGTGAGTAACAGAAGTTATTCTTCATAGAACTTCATATTGCTTTCTGTGCCCCACTGGAAAACTTCAATTTTATCCGCTTAGAGAATTAGCAGTGTCCTCAGTGCGTACTTCAAAAGTCCTGTTCGCCCGCTTCCCCATGATCTCCCATTGTCTGCAGTACTTGATGGGGGAGGTGACGCCGGCGACATTACCTCTCGTGTACGACACGGCGCTCTTGCTGGAGGACTTCCTGCTGCTGCATCACTGTACAGAGGTACGTACCCTCTCTAAACCCTCAAGGAGGGCGCTTGATGTTGATGGGCTCTTGATTCCTGGTAAACACAGCTTCCTCCCCTCTTCTGATAAATATGAAGTCTCCCATTACCAAGACGCTGCATAACCCAAACGGGTTTGTAATGAATGTAATATTGTCCCTAGATATTATAGTGTTTTAAAGTGTAAAGAACGAGGCTGGAACCTCCAATAACCCAGACCTCCGGTCTGGGTTATTGGAGGTTATTGTTTTATATCCGATAAGAGAGTTAACATTACGACATTAGCCCACAGTGGGGCTTGTCGTAAATCACTTTTATTTATAAAGACCTCACCGTGAAACATTAATATCTTGCGGGAGCAAGTGATTTTTTTTATTAGCGCTGCCGCTGCCATTCTCCCTAAATATTCTCGTACTGGGCAGGTGTTGGTGATGGCGGCGGACAACGTTCTGGAGTCTCCCGAGATCATCTTTATGCGAAGGTCGTCCCTGTGGCAGCTCTTAACTAACCGAGGCTCTGCGTGTCCTCTCGGATTATAATCTTCAAGGCCATCACTGCCTGGTAAGATAGTATATCATGCTGAGTAGTGAGCTGAATAGACCTGTATGTTGTGAGGACGTGCCTGATAACCTCTATGAACGGAACCAACAGCGCCTTTGGAACAGTTGCATCAGCAGGTTCGAGTTAAAGGAAACTAGGAGAGTTACGGCATCTGAGGAAAAAGGGGATTCGTAGCAGTCCTATGAGCAAATCTTAACGGCGAAAGCTGGATAGTGGTGGAAAGTAATGAAGCTGAAGATATGCAGGAAGGATGAAGAGATGGAATTTCCTTGCTGTGCTCCAAGACTGATAAAGGACGACCAACATAGCAACCAACAGATACAACGGTACGGAAAGACGCAGATAGTCTATGGACGAGGCAGAGCGCGTGTTTTCCAGGTGCTGGGATGTCATCTGTTGACTGGACAGCATCAGGTTTGGTAATGGGGCGCTTATTTGACAGTGCTGGAGGCAGTGATGGTGGCACGCAGAGGACCTAATTACCAAGCATGACGCAGCGATTCATAAAAGGGAGGGATATATGTCTATATCCGAGGAGCGGTGTTGGAAGTAAATTGTCCAGAGCAAGTTGTTGATGGCAAGCTGAAAAAGCACTTGAGAATATTGCTGTACCATTCATCGACAACTGGGACAGTTTTTATGGCTGGAATGACCGACGTATGCAAGAGATGGGGTTTATTCATATAGGGCAGAAGTGGCAACTTGACCTACTTCAGTGGAGTACTAGGGTTTTAAACTTAAAATGGTATGGTCTTCTGTGCGAGAAATGGTTTGTGGGACAATTGATTTAAACTATTAATGATAAAGGCTTATTTTAGATAATAAAATGGAAAGGGGACGAGTGACATGGAAAAGATAGACGAAATTATTTTTTAATGTATACTATACATTTCGTCAATGCTAGAAAAAAAGATGAAAGATTTGAGATTGGTTGCATGTGCGGCAAACTTTTTTGCAATAACTGAGAAGTGGCTTAATTTGAAGTAGGGACGTGATTGCAGTCACATTAAAGGGTTTGTTGATAAAAAAATATATTGGGAGGTAGGTAATGACTGTCAGGAAAATTTGAATTGCTGTATATAAAAAAAAAAAAAAAATTATGAAGACTGAAGGAAATGTTAAGGGTTAGAGGCTAACTTGATAATTCTAGAAAATTTTTAACTTTTTACTGGAATTCATTAACTGGGAATCTGTTAAGCTACCTGAAGTGGCGAGTTGACCCGTGTCAGTGAAGATCTGCTCTGATTTGTGCTAAAGTACTGGAGTATTAAAGATGGCCTCTGTGACCTTTTGAGAAGCTGTACCTTAGGCGAAGGTGGAGCTGGAAGAAGCTAGGAGGGAGACGAAGCTCCCTAGAGGGAAGATTAATCCCTGGAACAGCTAATTTTAGATCACCTGAATTGATGAGAGTACTTGCTACAACTACTGGTGGGAAGGACAGGGTGGAAAATGAAAGCTCGCGAAACTGCTGTTGACTCTTGATTCCTTGTCTGTGCTGCCTGTTAAATGTGGGTAGACCACCGAGGACAACGAACGCCACCTGGGACAGTAAGAACATTGTTCTTGTTAAGGACTGTCAGATTAGATACAAGAGGAGGATTTTTCATTAGAAGGATAAGAGTAGGAAGTAGAGGGTGTGCTTTCTTGGGCCGGGATGGAGAATATAATAAAAGTATTGACCGAATCATGAATAATACTGTATTTTCTACAAGTACATGTATAACGTATACAGGCCTGGCTGACATCAATGATTGGAATCCATCCTATTATTTGTCTCGGTGCTGGATGTTGACCAGCAGAGCGGCCAGGACTTGAGTATCAGGTGTTGGATAGATATATATTAGACATGTTACTGAGGAGGAGAGTTGGAAATGAATGGGTAGCCTCTTAATCAGATCAAAACTGTACAAGCTCTACGGATTTAGCTCATTTCCGTGAACATAGTTCTTGTTAATGTGAAGTATAACAGGATAACCTTAATATTCTAGGTCTTTGGAATTAACGTGATTATTTTGGTATTTCACTTAATGCTAGGAATATCTTTAAGCCTAATTTAAATAAAAAGAATTATTTACTCAGGTTTAACAAAATTCTGACTATTTCAGGGGAGTAGAAAACGCTGGTTACCATCCACATCCAGCAGAGACTGGTCTAGCTTTAACACCTCTGGAGAACGCGAGGCGGAACAGAAGCAGCAACAGCCGCCATGCAGGACAGTCCGGGTCAGTTCTTCATAATGGTGCAGAGCGCTTGGACTCCTTCAAACCGGCCACCAGTGAGCTCAAAAAGACGGTGGAGGAGTTCCTGCCCCTCGTGCGTTTCGACGAGATGTCAGTGGAGGAGCTAGTGACTTGGGTGTTTCCCTCTGGTATTTTCACCGGCGATGAATGTGTAGCTCTAGTCATGAATGTGAAAGGCATTCACACCTCTGCTCTCCCGGCTTCCATCTCCCAGACGGAGAACATTGGACGAAAAAGGATGCAGAGGTCGACTACGTTACTATCTCTAAATTCGACGAATGGTTCCAGCATTGGATACATTTACTACGATAAAGTGAACGTGAATTTGCTTCAGAATATCCTGATTAATAAATCAATCTCGTTGCTGGGCGTATCAGCGACCTGCCTAATAAGTTTAGTAGACGGAACTTTGACAATTTTCGATTCTGCAAATGAGGTGATTGAAAGAGGCGTTTGGCAGGGAACATCTTGCTCCTTCAGACGACCTGTGAGACTCTTACCTACCAAGTCTTACAAAATTGTCTTGACTAATTCCAACGCCCTGTGCGCGTACCACATCAACACCTTTGTATCTGAGATACAAGATGGGGTGTCATTTTCTGGCCAGACCACCTGCAATGGTAAGATAGTTCTAACCTACCTTACTGACGCTGCGCATGAAGAATAACTTAGATGTAGTTACGTGGAAGTTGACTTCGGGTCTACGCAGTAGATCTGCATGAATTCCAAATGAGACCTGGATATATTTTTCCCCAGATGTTTTTACAAATTAAAATAGCTTCAATCAGTTGCAAGAAATTACACAATTCTTGACTATAATATATAAATACACGTATACATATACATGCAAATAAGATCACAATAAACAGGTGGTATCACAACATGCAGAATAACCCACTGTGGAAAAAAAAATAGTATAATTCCAAGCGATTTCGTGATCTTACGTTATCGTTGATGAGAGAAATCACGAAAGAGTTCAGATTTTTTTGAAGTTATTTTGAGATATAAATTATATATATAAATAATTACACATACTCGGGGCCAGGAGCTGTGACTCGACCTGTAAAACCAAAATTGAGTACGTACACACGTGCATAGCATTAGTTCAAGTATTTTATCCATCCATTTTATTCATTTACTTGTTTTTTTCTGTTGCATAATTTTCTGTAGTAATTTTTTTTTTGACTTAAATTTCCAGTTTTCATTTTTATCTTTGACAAAAGTTCTTGACAGAATTTAATTTTCTAGGAATTCACTTTTATATGTAAATCAGTTTTTAAAGTGGATATAAAAATGAGTGTTTTATTTACTCAAAATAATTAATAGAGAAAGCGGATGGGGGGGGGGGGGACGGGACAATAGTTTGAGACAATGTAATTTTTTTTTTTTGGTTGGGGGGGTATTTAAAGCCTTGGTGCTTTTCGTTCATTCCCTGTTGAAAGCCTCTATGCTGAGGCGAATGTTCCTTCCTTAGCTGATCGTCGTGGTGCTCATTACCTTCGTTACTTTGTCCGCTCTCATGGCCTTCGTGTTCCTTCTACGTGTAGGTTGGTCTCGGATATTAGTAAAAACCCATTATTTGTTCCCCACCTCTGCTTACTCCGACCGTTTTCTCTTCATCTTCACTCCTGTCTTCTGTCCAGTTGCCTCCCTTGTATGTTCATTTAGCTTTTTCCCTTTTCTTTGGAAGGTTCCGACGATTCGTCTGTTTTTTCCCTACTGTCGTGCGCCAAAGCTCTCCTACCTACGACTACTACTATTTTTCTTGATCACCTCCGGTCACATGCTCATGCCGTTGCTGTTTATACAGATGATTCTAAATCATCTGACGGTGTTGGGTTCGCGGCGATGTTCCCTGACTATGTTGTCCGAGGTCATTTGTTAGACTCTGCTAGTATTTTTACCGCAGTTGTATGCCATCCTCGTAGGACTTCCCAGTATTACACACGTCTCCTTCGACGTTTGTGATCATTTCAGATTCCCTCATTGCTTTACAAGCCATTAAATAATTTGATTCCCCTCTTCCATTAGTCCTTCATATTCAACTATGGTTGCGCCGTGTGGCTAGGAAAAACAGACGTAGTTTTCTGTTGGTCCCTGGACACGTTGATGTGTAAGGCACTGAACAAGCAGATGCTGCTGCGTGGTTAGCGGTGCATGATCTTCCAGTTAGAGATATTCCGTTCAGAAATTATTTTCGATCATCTTGACTCTTCTTCACGACCGTTGGCAACAATGGTGGTCGGACATGCACCATAACAAATTACTCTATTAAACCGCTTTTAGGTTTGTGGCCATCTTACCACCGTTGCCGTACTCGGGAGACTGCTCGCTCCCGTCTCCGCATTGGCCATACTCGCCTTACCCATGGCTCTCATGGACAACACCATATTCCTCTGTAAGGTTTGTCGGGTCCCTATTTCGGTTCTCACTTTCTTGTAGATTGTCCGGTTTATCAGCGAGCTCGCACGATTTACCTCCACTGACGCCGTCGCCTTAGAGCTCCTGCCTTATCTTTCCTTCTTGCAGATGGTCCTGCTTTTGACTGTCACCTTTAGACTTTCAGTAACTGCTCTATTACACAAGCTTTGACACACAGCCCCTAGCGTCCCTTCCAACCCTTTCCTCCCCTCATCTCTGATCCCCTCTCCACTTAGCTGTTTATAGCCCCGGTACTATTTTCTGCCCTGCAGCGCTGCACGACCCTTGTCAGTTTAGTGCAGGTCCTCTGTTCCATGCTGTTCCTGATCTTCCATTTCTGTGTTCCTTATTGTTCCAAACCTTTCACTCTTCCATGATAAATGCTGTTCAGACCTTCTATGACTTCGTTGCGTGTTCCGCCAGACTATTCTCCTGTTTTTCTGTTCTTGACTGTTGCTTCCCGGCCCGTCCTGAACACTTATCCCCGTTCTGAATGTTATCCCCAGTGATAATCAGATAACTCCATCTGAAGACCTTGATGCCTTGTGTGGATTACAAAGGTGCCTTGGACTATACAAAAGTCTTAACGTTTTGTGGAAATCATAACCATGTCCAACTCTCGACTTAACTTTCCTGTCACCCGTCGATTTTCCCTCCATCCCGTCGACTGCCACCCTTCAACCCATTCCTCTCATTCCGTCGACTTCAAAATAATTTCCTGCATTTCTAACTCCTGACTCGGCTGTCGGAGAGACGAGGGAGATAAACTGCCATTATAAACTGGTTTTGCTGTGGGTCTGAAATGAGATTTGTGGGTTTAATAGTTGCCAGAGGAGCCACTGACTTGTGCAATGGTTGGGTCACTAGGCATGATGCCTTGCCCAGGTAGGATAGGCGGTGAGTGAACAATTTAGTTTCTTCTGTAAGTGTTAGTTGGCTGGCATAAAGCCTAGCGACTACTCGGAACAATTTAGGTTTCTCGTAAACCTGTTTACCACCACTCGGTCCCAAATACAGATTTAAGTGGATTAAAGTAAATTAGCCCATACACAGCCGCAGTAGGTGTAGAAAGGGATTTTCAGTGGTCATTGAGGCTGAGTATATTGGCTCCTTGACGCGGTGTCCGGGCTCTGAATTCTAACAATTGTATCTCATCTTTCATTGCTCAGCCCTCCCTCCTTTTAGCCTCTTCAGAAAAGGACCCCTCATGGAAGGTTCCTTGATGTTGGTGAGGGGCTCTTGATTTAGGGAATTGGATCTGTGCTCCAGTTCCCCGAATTAAGCCTGAATGCCTTCCACATCCCCCCCCCCCCGGGCGCTGTATAATCCTATGGGTTTAGCGCTTCCCCTTTGATTATAATAATAATAATAATCTTCAGAAAAGGAGAAATATCCTTTCTAAAGTTACGTTTTTAAGATGGAGCGAAAAGGAATTATGAGCCCTGTTGTAACATAGCTTCCATTGGTAGTGCTGAAATGGTCGTTCAGATGAAAAATGGATCAGAGGACGTGTAAGGTGATCCTCCAATGATAGGGCCGCCTGACAAGACCTGGGATGAGGGTAGTAGTACTAAAGGTTGCCTGCGGATTCGCGAGTGGCAAGTGTGTGTGCTCTGGGGAATTCTTTTTTCCGGTTCACTTGTCAATATTAGCCGAAAGCCTATTGCACAGTGCTCGTCTAAATACTGTTTAGCTAAGCCTTGCTCAGTCAATTTTGGAGGTGCCATTCTTGTTTTGTGCACCAGGTACTACTACTACTACTACTACTACTACTATACCACTACTATACCACTACTACTACTATACCACTACTACTACTATACCACTACTACTACTACTATACTACTACTACTATACTACTACTACTACTATACTACTACTACTATACTACTACTACTATACTACTACTATACTACTACTACTATACTACTACTAATACTACTACTACTACTACTATACTACTACTATACTACTACTACTACTACTATACTACTACTACTACTATACTAACTACTTACTACTACTATACTACTATACTACTACACTACTATACTACTACTATACTACTACTACTACTATACTACTACTACTACTATACTATACTACTACTATACTACTACTACTACTATACTACTACTACTACTATACTACTACTACTACTATACTACTACTACTATACTACTACTACTAACTATCTACTTACTACATACTACTACTACTACTATACTACTATACTACTACTACTATACTACTACTACTAACTACTACTATACTACTATACTACTACTACTATACTACTACTATACTATACTACTACTACTATACTACTACTACTACTATACTACTATACTACTACTACTACTATACTACTACTATACTACTACTATACTACTACTACTACACTTCAGTGGTGTCCTTCATTCAGGGTGGGTAGGTGGTTTTTGTTTATTCTAGTTCTACTTATTTAATAAAATTAACTTATTATAGATCCTAGTTTACAGTGACGCTCTGTTAACACCATCACGACCATACACACACACACCACGGAATCGCCTTCTGGCAGTCACTTGTTACCCTTCTGGTGCCTCTGACACTTCGCATTTCATTTTATCAACCATTACTCAGACGTCTGCGCGCCAGAGGCAGAGCTGCTTGAAGTAGCATTCCAGGAGAAACAAACTAACGTCGATGCTGGCAATGAACACATCACGATAGTACACTGAGAAACGTGCATGGTAACCTCTCCTACTAACGGGAGTCTTCCAAACACAATGGGCAAGATTTTTTTTTTTTGGGGGGGGGGGGGAAGAGGTCACTAATGATAACGAATCATGAATCAGGCCTGAATGGCCATCATACTTTCGCAAGAATTCATTACGCATTTTTGTCAAGACGTGTACTGCTACCACTCTAGAAAGTAGGATCGTTCGTAAGGGAGGTAGGTGCCTTGACACCAAAGTGGGAATCTTGTTTCATAGAAGTATTAAGATTGAGTTGTTTGGATTTTTAGCCCGGGTAACCTCCAGGAAGGCTTAGCCACCCAGGATGAGTCAATGGGTCATCGACGACTTTATTTCCATTGTGGTCCTTTAATCTTGTTCCCCAGGATGCGACCCACACCAGTCTCCTGACACCCAGGTACCTACTTACTGCTAGGTGAACAGGGACAGCAGGCGTGAGGATACATGTCGGGGATTGAGCCGCGGACACTGTTAGGCGAGTGCGTTGCCAACCAAGCCACGGGACACCAAATGAACCTGTCCTTACCTTGGTGAGGGACCTAAACCACACCTGCACACGCACGTAAATGCTTGCACGAGCGTCTTTCACGCACCCACATGCTCCCTCTCCCTCACCAAAACACCCCTCCCACCCCCAACACCCCTCCCACCCCCACACCCCTCCCACACCCACACCCCTCCCACACCCCTCCCACCCCCACACCCCTCCCACCCCCCCACACCCCTCCCACCCCCACACCCCTCCCCACACCACACCCCTCCCACACCCACACCCCTCCCACACCCCTCCCAACACCCACACCCACACCCCTCCCACACCCCTCCCACACCCACCCCACACCCACACCCCTCCCACACCCCTCCCACACCCAAACCACACACTCCATCCAACTCACTAAATCCGTTTATCTTCGTCTTCCTCTCGCCGTTCGCAGTGAGAATTTGGACCATAAATTTCTTTTCACGTTACATCAGGCAAGAAAAACTGCGGTCGTAAGTTGAATCAGTAACTCATACCAGGCTTGACGTACGCGACCGGAGACTTCAGGTTAAAACGTAACCCAGTAGAGAGTTGCAGGCATAATTTAGAGGCTTTTGTTATCTGCTTCCTTGATTTTCTTGCTCTCCCTCGA